TTTACTCATTTGAACTATGTATTTTGTTATATTAGAGTGTATTTTACTTGCTTAACAATTGTTGATGTATTTGACGTGTGAAATATAAATGTGATGACATCCTTGGTATTGGAACGGTATGTTCGGAGAACATGCAGAATGTAAAACAGGGGGTTGTATCATGATTTATATTTCAGTCAGTTTGACAGTGGTTGTCATGACATATACTGATAAAGGTTAATGACAAGACCAGATGGCGAGCTGGTCGAAATCAACCAAAAACATCTTATGACTCTGCAGTTTTTAAGATACAAGACAGTAGCTGTAATTCTAAACCAATGTTGTTTGCGAGTTTAAAAAAGGTAGTATCTTGGTGGAATGTTAGTGCGAGATTATTACCCCATCAATATTAGTTAGTGTTGACAATGTATAGAAATGTTTTCTCTAGACAGCTTGACGAGTAATTAATTGATTATGATGTGTAAAACTTTCATGTGATTGGTTGTTTGTTGGAAGGCAAGGCCTTGGAGTCTCTTATACTGATTGTAATTGGTTAAGGGGTGACAAGAAATAAAGATGGATTTAATGCTATCTCGGGTGAAAAACCAGGGACTTGGCAGAGAATCGTTTTGGGAACATGAACGAAGCTTGTGTGTGTCTTTTGTCAGCCTAGCGTGGAAACGACCGAATCCCGGTTACCTAAGTGAAAGGTTGTTAACCATCAAAAATACCTATCACATAACATTCAACTAACAAATTCATTTATAAATACAACGACGTGAGGAGATGGCATCAGTTTGATGAAAACATTATTTAACCATGTCATAGGTTATATTATAATGAGGTGGTCAAGACTGTAAATAATAAGTGTTAATGTATAAGGCACATTTGTATTCATGGGAGTAACTAAAACACTTTTCTTTCAAGAAGCACTTCAGAAACCAAACACACATACAATGTTTCAAGGTAAAACACCCAGCGTGTTTTATAAGTGTTTATGTATACGAAATGTACACAAGTTCATAAGAGTAACTAAAACATGTTTCTTCCAAACTGTTTTATCTTCAAATACAAACACATAAACACATATTAAGAAAAACACTTAAAGTGATTTTAAAGTGGGGACAAAAATGTGTTATATTTTAAAACAATTATTTACAGATTTACAGAGTACTCGTAGTTTTTTCAAAGTTTGCTAATATCTTATCCATCTTGTTTCAGTCAAATAATGCAATGTTTGGATTCGACTTTAAGTACACATATTGTAAATATAGATTTACTGATAGGTAAATGACGGTTACGAGGACGTTATCGGCAGTTACTAATGGCCAGTTTGGAGTGGAAGTTTGAATAAACATTGAAATTTTGTAATGCTTTACGTTTTTTTTTTTATGACAATATCTCAAATAGTGTAGCAGAAAACATGCCATATCACATATCTTTATAGAAACTATGAAATATATAGTGAGAACAGTAATATTTAAAAGATTTGTGTGTTATCTCCATCATTTATATTGTCAACTAACAAAACAAATTCTCAAGAATGTGTTTCGGACGTGGTACAACAGAGAACCATATCCCATCATTATTAAGATTTATACTTGCATTTAACACTCTATCTTTTATTATATTATAGGTAATAGGTAATAG